ATTGGCGTCTCTTATGTTCTTATGACAGCCAACAACAGGGCAGAGAGGCTGTATTAAAGCAGTATAAAGCAAAAATGGCATAGGATATAACAAGCAATATAAGGACAAAGCAAGAAACATATGAATCTCACCAATTCTCCAGGAAAAGAATAGTGAAGCACGGGGGTCATTTCCTGCAGGAGCACACAGGAGTGGAGGTCCAGCAGTAAAGAGCCCAGTACCTGGAGAACAACAAAAACAGCATTGTGAATATATCATTACTAGGGAGCAAGGCCCGTTGAGCAGGGAGATACAACGGGCAGCTAGCCCCCCCATCGCCTCCTCCCCCTCTCCGCCCTGACCCAGGCGGCCGCCGGTCTGAGGCTGGCGGCCATCGTCTTGAGCCTCTCGCGGCTCTCGGCTGTCCCCCGCACGGCGCTCACCTTCTCCCCCTCTCCACTCTGACCGACGCAGCCGCCCGTCGGCTCCAGCCACCCCTCTGCACTGTGCTGGCATCCTCTCCGGCCTGACCCAGGCGGCCAGCGGTCGCATCCCGGCGGTCACCTCCAGCCACCCCTCCACACGTTGCCCGCCTCATCCGTGGCAGCCGCCTGCCGCCTCCATCCGGGAAAATCCTGCGCAGGTCGCTTGAAGCTGCGTCTGAGGTGGGACTCAGACGACGTGACCAATGGGACGTGGGCATGCCGTTGACGGACAGGCAAGCCGTCCATACACTGTAGGTGCGCATTGCGTGACTTTGCGTCTTACAGAATTATATTATAGGGAGAGAGGAGAGATAAGAACAGGGTGTCAACTAGGGGTGTGCAAGAAAAAAATTGGTATTTTTGGGTTTGGGTATACTGAACCCAAAAAAATATCGGTATACCTTCAGAGTCCACTTGTTGTGGAGATGTGCAGCCTGGAGAAGGCGGGCAGTCCCTTTAACAGGTTCAGTCCCTTTAAGTGCCTGCCTTTCCTTCGGAGTTCACTTACCAAACTGTGCCACTGCCATGGCGGCAGAGCAACTCAGCGAGTGAACTCAGAAGGCATGTAAAGAGACCATAGTGTCTTTAAAAGCCTCCTTCAAGCCAGACTGCTGACACTGCGGCATGACTCAGGAAGCCGCAACTGAATAAAACCTGATTAATATTGGCTTTTATTCTGGCTCGGCTACATCAGTCACTGAATCAGATTCTCTAATCTGATTAACGCCCCCCCAAAAAAAATTATGGTAAGGGGTTTTTTTTAGGTTTATTTCCCCCCATTCTTGCGAGTCCTATCCTCTGCTGCCAACAGGAACTGCTCCCTGCCCTCCTCCAAGTGACAGCCCTTCAACTACTTAAAGGGAGCCATCCTGTCCCCCCTCAACCTCCTCTTTCTCTAGACTAAACATTCCCAAGTTTTTCATTCTTTCCTCATAGGGCTTGGTCTCCAGGCTCCCAATCATCCTTATCACTCTCCTCTGCACCTGCTCCATTCTGTCCACAACCTTTTTGAAGTGAGGCCTCCAGAACTGCACACAAGACTCCAGGTGTGGCCTGACCAAATTTTATTCCTACTCTGAACCTTAATACTCTTTTCCTTGATCATGGATGGTGTATCAGGCATGATAAAGATAAGATTTTGAAGCTAATTGCACACATCTCTGGGGAAATAAAATTACACCGGCCTTCTTTATCTCATTCCTTTCTTCTGATTGTCTGAATTCCTCAATGTACCTCTCTGAGTTAGTCAAGGTGATATTATCTCATGCCCGATAAATTAGATTGCTTTCTCTAAGTAGGACACATCTTGTTTCTCACACCTGGGTCTGCATTACACAGTATGGTTTCTTTGCTGTCAATGAAAATATCTTTCAGGGTTCAATGAGACTGGATTAACTGAAATTTAAAAATGGTGCAAAAATGAAGTGTTGAGATTTCTTACTTTCAAAATGGAGAATAGAATAGGAAGGGTAACCTACTGAAGCAAGTCTCCTTCAGATGGAGGGAAGTTGTTTGTGCTAGAGGAACATACCTGTGTTAATGGAAGACATCCAGACACTATTGAATTTATTAATAAATGATCTAGAACAAGGGGTGAGTATGTAGTGGCCCAGTCTGCAGATGGCACAGAATTATTTGTGGTGGAGAAAACCAAGAATGACTGTGAAGAGCTCAAAGAGGATCTCCACAAACTGGGTGAGTGGGCAACAATGTCGAAAATGAAATTCATTGTTGCCCACAATGTAAGGCAGGGCTGTCAAACTCATTTGTTATGAGGGTCGGATCTGACATAAATGAGACTTTGTTGGACCAGGCCATGTGTAACATAAAATGAAATGCCAGGTAGCGGAGATAAAAACTATAAAGGACAGAAACACAAAGATTTTTTTTAACTTAAAAACATGCTTAAAACATTAGAACTCTTGAAATATTTTGTTTCTTTAATAGTGTCTGATAACTGACCCCTCTTGCTCTGAATTATTGCATCAAAATGTCTGTGCTGTAGCAATCTTGATTATGCTGTTCAAGTGTGTATCTGTAAGCTGCAAACCTACTTTTGATTTATTGACCTTCATTACAGAAAACTCATGCTCAGTGTTCTGAGCCTAGGACCCAGGGGAAAACATGAAATGGCTGGGCATTGTGAGATTTTGTACATAAATTGATTTGTGTGCTGGTCAAGAAGATGAGAAGGCATCATGACATATACTGAGGAATATGTGTTTTTCTACAAAACTATAGTCTTCCTTAGTGGACAGTATCAGCCTACTATCTGGGAAGTTCAAAATCCCTAAAGGAAATGTGCTGGGTGAACTTGGTCTGGACACACACTCTCAGCCTAATCCACCTCACTGGCTTGTTGTTATTCCTCATCTAAATAGTTCACATTGCTTTCCTACTGAGAAAGACTGGATCATGAGGGCATGAATACAGTGAAAAAGGGGAGGGAATCCAGTTGCACCCAGGAGAGCCACACAATAATGAGCCCAACAAAACACACAGCCTGTAGCAAGGCACACAAAAGCTCGTACCTTGGAAAAAACTTTGTCAGTCTTAAAGGTGCTTTGTATTTCTCCCCTGTGATTGAGGCAGCCAAGCAAAGCAAGCTGTTCCTCATTTCCCCCCTCCCTTCAGGGAGGAGCCTCAGTCAATGGAGGGGAAGCAGCAGAACTGGAAGAAGAAGCAGGAGACAGCCGTTTCCACTGGGGGCTTATAGAAGGCTCTGGGGCATTATCTGGCCCAAGGGCTACATGTTTGACACCCCTGGTGTAAGGCGATGCACATTGGGACAAAAAAAATCCCATCTTCAAATCTAGGCTAATGGGATCTGAGCCTGCTGAAGCTGAGAGTTGAAAAGATCTTGGGATTGTATTGGATAGCACACTGAAAGTGTCAAGCCAGTGTGCTGCAGCAGTGAAAAAGGCAAATAATATGTTAGGGCTTATTAGGATAGGAACTGAACATAAAAAGACCAATATTATGATACCCCTGTGTAGATCTATTGTGCAGCCTCATTTGCAATACTGTGCACAGTTCTGGTCACTGTAGCGCAAAAAGGACATTATTGTGATGGGAAAAGTGCAGAAAAGGACAAGCAAGATGATTTAGGCATGGAGTACCTTCACTATAAGGAAAGGCTGAAGCGTCTGGGACTTTTCAATTTAGAAAAGAGACGACTAAGGGAGGGACAAGATGGAGGTTTATAAAAGTATGCAGGAAGTGGAGAGACTTGACAAACAGAGCTTTTTCTTCCTCTCCCAAAAGACTGGAACTCAAGGGCATCCAATGAAGCTGACGGACAGTAGGTTCAGGGTAGACAAAATGTAATACTTCCTTACATCAAGAGTGATTAAAATGTGGAATTTGTTGTCAGAGGATGTAGTGAGGGCCACAGGAATCAACAGGTTTCAAAGGGGATTAGTTAGATTCATGGAGGATAAGTCTATCAGTGGCTACTAGACACAGTGACTGAGGGGAATCTCCATGTTCAGAAGCACTAAACCTCTGAATCCCAGATCCAGGAGGCAACAACAGGGGAGGGTCTCCGCCTCGATGCCCTGTGGTTGTCTCTCCAGATGGCCACCGTGTGAGAGAGGATGGTGGACTAGATGGATCACTGGTCTGACCCAGCAGGTGTCTTTTTATGTTCTTATCAAATCTGTGACTTCTCTATTGCGACACTTCACTGTCACAACTTCCCTCTGATGGACATTTGTCTAGCATGCAACTTCTAGTGTTCTAAGCACCAGTCAAAAAAAGGGTGTTTTTGTCCCAAAAAAATATATGGTTTTCACAAACTGATATTTGCAGGGGTGGTAGATACCCCCCCCAGTGTTCATTTGGTTGATGTTCCATTACATCCTAGATTTCAGTTTTGATTATATATAGACTTTAGAATCATAGAATTGGAAAGGAACTCCAGGGCCATCTAGTCCACCCCCCTGCACAATGCAGAAAATTCACAAATACCTCTCCACTCCCAGTGTTCTTGTTTTTATGAGTTTTACCAGCTTGCTGATAATTGTATATTTGCAGGATTTTTAAAAAAGTTTTTTAAATCCATAAATACATGAGATGGGCAACAGATTAGGTGACTTAAAAATGATTAATGGCTACGCCATTGATCATTTAAAAAACTACATTCACATTCAGGAGCAGTAAGATGCAAATGTCCAAATGCAGAAGGACGGGAACCTTCACGAGCTCTTTGGGTCCCCCTAAAAGCTGGTACCCTCGTGATCTCTTTGGGTCCTCCCAAAAAGGGTCGGCTGCAGAACCAGATGGATTTCTGCTCCTGTCCAGCAATCCATATGGACATGCAAAGTTGCCTTATGCCGGGTCATGAAACTCTGTGTGGACTACCCTAAATAGCATTTGCTCATCATGACATCATGTGTCATCTCAAGAGCTGCTGCTTGGGATTGAGGAACCTAATACTGAATTCTCTCTGTGTGTGCTCTACCACTGAGCAATGAGCCCTCCCCCCTTTTTCAAGTTCTTAAAAATAAAAAGAAGCAACTGAATCCACATGAGAAATTTTGATGCAGGCAGAAGATTTATTGAAGGAAAAGGAGAGTGGGTAACATCATTTGCAGCGAAGCAGTTTCATGGATGACGAACGTACATTCTTTACTCAATGACAGGGGCTTTTTCGCCCGACTGCCCATTTAGTAGGGTTTAAAGGTTTCAAAGCAAATGAATACAGAGATAAACACAGGTTACTGTTTAGGGAGGAAGACCTTAGTGAGCCACTTAAATGTTCAGAGGCCCAAAGAAGGAAGATGTTCATACCCTTCCAGTCTCCCAATCAACATAAGTTAAGGAAAACGAAATGAAGCATAAAGGTTAGAGGTGAGAGAAGAGAGAATACAGATTAACTATCAGACGTTGGTGGTCACGGGCAACTGAGATGTTGTTGGTGAACACCAGCCAAACCTGACTTGAACTGGGAAGCATCATTCATTCTGACCCCCAAGTCCACGAAGTTGTCAACTGTTGAGCCGTTCCGTACTTTTCCAGGTAGTTGTTCCATTCCCGTTCCTGTGAGGCTCCCCTTCCAGCTTAACAGATGCGGCCACAAGGAGGGCAGCCGCCACAGGCCGTGTAGCCTCCCACACGGACGGGTTCACAGGTGGCAGCCATAACTGGCCCTGGGACTGTAATGACGAAAGGAGCTGGCTGTATGGTAAGTTCCGATGGTGGGATCTGGCTGACGCAGGCGACGTTGGCCCCACTGGTGATGCCAAGGCAACGCGCCGATGTTGAGTTACCGCAGCATGAAGAGGAGCAGCATGAATTGTTGCAGCAATTCAGGGAGCCCAGACCGCCGACAGGGTAGCTACATGGGGAGCAGCAAGGCTGGGGGCAGCAAGGCTGGGGGCAGGATGGGATGGCACAGGAGGGAGGACAGCAGCAAGACATCTTGGAAAGGCGAGTCTGTAATGACATGACGAAAAGATGGGAAATGTCAGTGTGAGAGGCTGGAGAACAAACTGATCCAAGGTGCAAGTCTAAGCATTCTCCCAGGCAGTGTTCCCCCAAAGCTGAGTTAGTGTGAGCAAGCTCACAGTTTTTTTAGCCTCCAGCTCACGCATTTTTGTCTTGGCTCAGGAAGGAGGGCTCCGGAGCAAACTAATTTATGCAGCAGCCAAATCTATTGCTCACAACTTTAATGCCGGTAGCTAGAGATGTGCATTTGGTTTGTCTGAACTGAATGCACCCCCGTAAATGGCCCATTTTGGCCCCTTTCGGGCTGCTGTGGGCCGATTCAGATTCTCTGATCTGAATCAGCTTGCTGCCAAATTGCCGCCGAATTTCGGAAGCAATTCGGCCCCATTATATCCTATGGGCCATTGAAGTCAATGACGAAAACATAGGGAATATTCTGGGGGCTGGAGTGGAGGGGGTTTGAGTGAGAGGCTCCAAACCCGCAGGGTAGCTCCCCAAGATACCCACCAAGTTTCAAGAACATTGAACCAGGGGGTCGAATTCCACGGGCCCCCAAACAGGTTGCCCCCATCCCCTCCATTGTTTTCTACGGTGAGAAAAAAGTAACTTTTCTCCCCACCATAGTGAACAATGGAGGGGATGGAGGCAACCTATATGGGGGCCCATAGAATTGGACCCCAAATATTATTATTTCTTGCACACCCCTACTGGTCGCTCACCAAGTAGAATTTTTGCTCGCCAGACTCCACAGCTTAGAGGGAGCATTGCTCCCAGGGAGTAAATTGAATTGAAATAGTAAATATGTTGTTACCACACTTTTCCTGTCCTTTATTTACTTCATGATCTAACATATCTAATGTATCTTTTTAATATATATATATAATTAGACTAACACACATAGAGGGATTCAGGTGTTGGTCTGAAGCAACAGAACAAAGTTTGAGTCCAGTGGCACCTTTAAGGCGAGCAAAGTTTTATTCAAGTTTTCTACCTTGGATAAAACTTTGTTAGCCTTAAAGGTGCCACTGGACTCAAACTTGGTTCTTAAACATAGAGGAAGGTAGTACGGTACAGCCCCATCTCGTTAGACCTTGGAAGCTAAGCAGGGTCATCCCTGATTGGTAGTTGGATGGGAGACCTCCAAGGAACACTGCAGAGAATGCAATGACAAACCACCTCTGCTTCTCACTTGCCTTGAAAGCTTCTCACTGGGGTGGCCTTAAGTTGCCTGTGACTTGATAGCGCTTTACACACACACACATACAGTGAAAATCCCCAAATTTCCAGGAATTTCTGAACCCAGAGTTGGCAGCAGGTTTTGAAGAAGTTGCGTACCAAATTATTAGAGTATTTCTACTTAAAGCAGGAGCCGCAGTGGCTCAGAGGTCAAGACACTGAAGCTGCAGACTGAAAGATCTGTAGCTCGGCAGTTCGAGACCTGAGTGCCATGTGACAGAGTGAGCTCCTGTCTCTGGCCCCAGCTCCTGCCAACCTAGCAGTCTGAAAGCAAGAAATTGCAAGTAGATAAATAAGTATTGCTTTGGGGGAAAGGTAACGGCATTCCATGCACCTCGGCATTTAGCCATGCTGGCCACATGACCATGGATGTGTCTTTGGACAGCGCTGCCTCTTCGGCTTGGAAACAGAGATGAGCACCACCTCCTAGAATCAGATTTGACTAGCTTTCAAGCAAGGGAAACCTTTACCTTTACTTTAAATACCTGTACAGTCCACAGAGAGCCACCTGCCTTTCTTTCTTTTCTCCCTATTCCTCAGTTTCTCTCTAGGTGACTTCTGGCCCCTTCTCTCCTTTAGATGTCTACATTCGGAGATGAGAACTACCACTAATCACATCAAACTCTTTCTTTCCTCATTCCCCATGATATTCCAATGATTTTTCTTTCCGAAGGAGGCACTTCCTAAACTTGCTTCCTGGCTTTCTGTCTTGCTTTCTTACCATATATATCTTATACGAGGAGAAGACGTTACGAGGGACTTACCAGGAGCAGGAGGAGAACAGAAGAGAAGCAAGAGGAGCTTGTTTGGAGATGTGGAGATGGTGGCAGCTATCAAGAGCTTTTATACCATCTCCGGGGAGCACTAAATGCATGACTCAGCTCTGAGTGTTTCCTGAGTTAAATTTTCAAAGTTCCCATGGCACTTTGTAAAAAAAATAAAAAAAATATTAACTACATATTTTACCCTGAAGTCTTTCCTTATCATCCAATATTATAGGTCTTGGTCAGACGTTCTATCCAGTATCATTTGAATCAGATCAGAAATGAACCTCTGGCAACTCCCGGCTGACTACGGAGGAAGTCAATCATCCTGCCTTGCCTGGAATGCACAAATTTCAGTACTCTAGTTCAACGTGACAGCACTTATGAATTCGGAATTCCGGGTGTGTAATTAGAGATAAAGGAAGTTCCCCCATTTTGCTCAGCTGTTGTTCTGTTCTCAGCTGTTGTTGTTGTGTTACACTTCCACGCTGATTGTTTTGTCGCTTAAATCACTCAAGGAATTGGGCCGTACCCATTTACTTCACAAATTATTTTCATTCTTTACAGGTACTTATGTCATCAAGGACATATGCACATTAATTAAATCACAGAGTAAAATAGGAGGGGGGGGAATTCTGAGGTGTTTATGAGATTCCTTCTTTTTTTGTGATGAGGTTTAATTAATTTATAATCGGCAAAGGGAAAAGGAAGACTCATGAACCGGAGGAGTGTAGTGGACTTGGTATCAACCATGGGTTCAGATTCGTACTCATCTGTGAGGGTCACTTGGTGGTTTGGGGCCAAAACTGACCTCACAGGTTTGTGGTACGGATAAAATGAAGAAAGGACCATGTACAATTTTCCAACCTTCCTTGAGACTCACTGTCCTGGAAATCCAGTTTGGTATAGTGGTCAGAAGCACGGGCTCTAATCTGGGAGAAACGAGCTTGATCCCCCACTCCTCCAACTGCAGCTGCTGTTGTGACCTTGGGTCACTTACAAGTCCTTTCAGAGCTGTTCTCTCATGAGCAGTTCTCGAAAGAGTTCTCTCAGCCCCACCTACCTCACAAGGTGTCTGTTGTGGGGAAGGGGAAGGAGATTGTAAGCCACTCTGAGACTCCTTCAGGTAGTGAAGGTTGGGGTATAAATCCAATCTCTTCTACTAATAGTAATAATAATAATAAATTATGATTGATAACCTACCAGGGGCTGAAGAAAGTTCCCTCGCCAGAAGAAAACTCCCTGCAATTTGAATGCCTCCTCCTCCAACAGGAATAATATCAACAACAGCAAAACTCCAGAAGCATGATAAATAATTCTGAGCCCATATTCGAGGGAGAAAACGGAATACTCAGAATTCCATAAGCAACATAGTGTCTATATCTGAATTCGAATGATGACATTTTATGTTAAAAGATATTCTATATTTCGACTATAACCAAGACAGTTCTAATTGAGTCCCAATGCTCTATGCTCTTATGTGGGGGGGGGGGGGATGTGAATGATGAACATTATAAGTTTTCAGAAATTCATATTCTTTTTTATGGTGTTTAGAATGGCCAAAATGAAATTATGACACAACTTTATATCAAAGAGGTTGGACAGGAACCAAAAGGGCTTGCCCAAAACAAAAATGTATGTGCCGATGAACAAATGCCCCTACACTGACACAACATTCACCCAACTCATAATTTCACCCTGTCTGGAAATGCTTAAATTCATGGTCGCCCAAAGCAAATTGGTGCCCTGATCTTGGCGACCCAGACTACGCCAATTGCATCAGTAGGGGTGGGCATGAACTGGCTCATGATCTAAAGTCCATCTCAAATTTAAGCTGGTTTGTGACTCATTAAGAAATGTCCAGGGTAGCTCTTTCACCATGAACTTTCAGGAGTTTTGGCACCATTCGCAGTAGTTCATGAATAGCTACATTTTACTTTTATAAACATGCTGTTGTTGTTCATTCGCACAGTCGAGTCTGACTCTTCACGACCCCATGGACCAGATCACGCGAGGCCTTCCTGTCTTCTGCCGTCTTCTGAAGTTGGCTCAATTTCATGTTCGTTGCATCTATGACCGTTTCTAACCATCTCATCCTTTGCCATCCCCGTCTTCTTTGACCTTCAATCTTTCCCAGCATCAGGGTCTTCTCCAGTGAGTGCTCCCTTCTCATTTGGTGGCCGAAGTATTTGAGCTTCAGTTTCATTATCTGGCCTTCCAGGGAACAGTCAGGGTTGATTTCTTTTAGGATTGACTGATTTGATCTTCTTGCAGTCCAAGGGACTCTCAAGAGTCTTCCCCAGCACCATAGTTCAAAAGAGTCTATTCTTCGGCGCTTGGCCTTCCTTATAGTCCAACTCTCGCAGCCATACATGACTACTGGGAATACCACTGCTTTGACCATGCGGACTTTTGTTGGCAGGGTGATGTCTCTACTTTTTATCATGCTGTTTATGGGGTTTTTTGCCATTTTTTTTTGCCAGTGCTGTCCTATGAGGTTGCAACCACAATAAAAAGTAAAGTGATCAATATACACATCCTATACTTTAAACTTGTAACCCAGAAGTATCTGACTCCAGCCAGGCTTGCATGTATTCATCAATCAAATGAAATACGTTGTTGGAAACTATGTGGCACTCATGCTAAGTATATTCATTGTTGGTGGTCATGCACTTACATTCAAGCTTTTTGGCATCAAGTTGGGGATTTTAGTTTGGTGATTACAGGTCACAGATTACTGCATCATCCAGAGGTATTGTTACTTAATATAGGGTTAGGGCCTGATATGCTATAGTCTACATTGAGGCTTACAGAATTCTTGTCAGCGGCAGCAAGAATGGCTATAGCCTCTTGATGGAAGGCTAAACATCCACCAACAACTGACTTGTGGTGTGATAAACTATGACTATTTCGACTATGGAGAAGATAGTTTGTTGTATTAACAGTTGTATAAACTCTGGGAAGGACCATTCAGGTTTTGTGGAAATACGGTGGCGGCACTTAAACTATATGGTCTTTGAAGGGAAATTGACGGATACCTCTTTGCTGTTAGATGCATTTACTCTCAAGTATTCTTAAAGATGTTATTAACTTTAATATGTTTTGGGGGTATCTGCACCAGGATATGGCTTTGTAGTTGTTGCTGCAGTTGAAATTGTTTATTATAATTGTTATCAATATACTTGCTTGGTTTATAAAAAATAAAGGCTATTGTTTTTTATTGTTATTAAATTTAAGAAAAAGTATAAAGTTTACAATTTTTTAAAATAATAATACTTTCCATTTATTAATCGCTTTCCCCAATGGGCTCAAAGCGATGTACAGTTACTCAATATAGACAAGGGACTAACAATGTTTGTAGGGGATAGGGAAGACAACATATATTCATTTTTAATTGCACGCGCCATCACTGCCCAGTGTAGACATCTTCTGGCTGGCTCCGTCATTTTCCCGCAAGGCTGCTTGCTGGCCAGGCTTCAGGACCCGTATGTCAATTGCCACACTGCCAGTGCCTGGCCGGAACATCCATTGCAGGAGATCTTTTCGTAGCCGTGAAGCTGTTTTCACCTTACAAGCCTTGACCAGGACGTCCGACCGTCAGCTAACGCCCTCCCACAAGGGAGATTGGCATGCCCACTCTCTCTAAGGAGTGGTTCCCATTTTATCTACTCGCCGAAGCTTTCGAATCGCTTTCAAAGTTATACATCAAGATAAATCATTAAACCGTGAGATAACAACAAATAGTTGGTACAAGTGAAAGATATAGAATCATAGAATCATAGAATGTTAGAGTTCGAAGGGCCCCTGCAGGTCATCTAGTCCAACCCCCGCACTCTGCAGGAGCATAGCCAAAATATAGCCCTACAATATACCCAAAAGATGGTAATCCAGCCTCCACATGAAAACATCCAGTGAAGGAGCATCCACCACCTCCCGAGGCAGTCTGTTCCGCTGCTCAACCACTCTTACAGTTATGAAGTTTCTCCTGATATTTAGAGGGTAACAACTCCCTTGTAATTTCTACCCATTAGGTCTAGTCTTGAAATCTGGAGCAAGAGAGAATGTTATTGTTATTATTATTATTATTATTATTATTAATTATTATTATTATTCCTTCAACTTCTATCCTGCTCACCCCCTAGGGGCTCTGAGCGGCTTACAATTCCGATTTAACCAATCTAATCTAGGGCTACATATGTAGGGGAGGTGAGAAGCCTACCAGGCACTCTTAACCTGTTTGTAGCAGATCTTCTTTCTTGCGAGGGGACAGTCCGGCGGCATCGGTCTTCGGTGTTTCACTCTTTGATCGCCTCCTCGCCTCGACCAGCTGCCATTTTTTCCTCTGCCGCCGCGGACGTTCATCGCTCTCCATTCTCCACTTTTCCACCATCGCTGCTACACCAGGGGCGGGTGCCCCCCTGCTCTAATAGAAGGTACCCATTTTATCTACTTGCCCTTTAACGGGCGTCCGAACCGATGGGTGGACGGGAGCTGGGACGTAGGGCCAGGAGCTCACCCTGACCGCGGTGGGGTTCGAACAGCCGAAGCTGTTCATCCAGTTGTTAAAGCAGGCTTCCCTTACTGCCTGCGCCACCACTCCCTCTAGATCTGTTCCATCTTCAACAAGACAGCCCTTCATATATTTGAAGACTGCAATCATGTCCCCTCGAAGCCTTCTCTTTCCCAGGCTAAACAGACCCAACTCTTTCAGCCTTTCCTCATACGACTTGGATTCTAACCCTGTCACCATCCTAGTTGCCCTCTTCTGGACACGCTCGAGCTTGACAACATAAGAACATAAGAGATAGCAATGTTGGATCAGGCCAAAGGCCCATCCAGTCCAACTCTCTGTCACACAGTGGCCAAAAATACCAGTGCTATCAGGAGATCCACCAGGGGGGACAGGACATTAGAAGCCTTCCCACTGTTGACCCCCCCAAGCACCAAGAAGACAGAGCATCACTTGCCCCAGAGTCCCTATCTATACCTTGTGGCTAATAGCCACTGATGGACCATATGCTTATCTAATTCCCTTTTGAAGCTGTCCATGCTT